TCTCTCTCTCTCTCTCTCTCTCTCTCTCTCTCTCTCTCTCTCTCTCTCTCTCTCAGGATGTGTTGTCGCGCGCATCGGTCCCGTAGAGGGGACCCTCCCGGCCGCGTCACACAGAATTTTGCAGGACTTCGTCGTAGAGCGCGGTTTGCCGCTCCGGCCGAGTGCGCCAGCCGTACCTCTCGCGAGCCCCTACGACAGGACAGGGTCACGCGAGGCACTGCTTACCTTTTCAAATGGGACAAGGCCTGGCCGTCTGCAGCAATGGTAATTTAGTACTTCGCTGGTCACACGGCGCTATCCAAAAACCGTGCAAGACCACTTGTGAACGAATTTTTACCAATTCTAAAAAATCATACCAAAACTAAAATAAATAAAATAGGGCATTCTGCAGTCCTCACCAGATGTGACCGCAAATTCCCTTGCCCCATGGCTACGCAGACTGTTGACAAAAGGGCACACGTACTGGCAGGTTTAGGACCTCGGCTAATATGTGTGACCGATCCTGCATCTTGCCGCACCCAACGGGCATGCTCACACTCAAACCTCTCATTGCAAATCACGGCTGGTGGACAGATGCGCCCGCAGAGGATTCCCGATAATCAGGTTCCTTCTATCCCGTGGGTCAAAGCACCCACCAGCTCACGAACTCGTCGAACTTTCTCAGTCAGTGTTTCATGACGGTCAAGATGGAAAAATTCCGCCAGCATCCCAAAACACGTTGGGGCCATGATAATATTCTCTGTGTTGTTCCAATTTTAATGGATATCCCGAAGGACCACGGCCAAAAGTGACGGCCTTGAGACATCATCGTGCAACTGACCGGGCCTAGGCAATTCAGAAAATATGTGGTTTTACTCATCAATCAAGTTCCATCATGACCTGGATTCGAACTCAAGTCTGTTTTTCAACAGTTCATGGGCGTACCCACTGAGCTAGGCTCTTGGGCCCACGGACGGTCCCGGTATCAACGCCAGACCGCGTCCCAAAATTGGGAAAAAAAAAAAAAAAAAAAAAAAAAACTTAAAAAATTTAGGAAAAGTGGACGAGGGGAGGAGGACCGTTGGAAACTTGCCCTCCGTCCTGCCTATCGGGCCCACGGTCGGACTTCCTAGCAAAACTAAGGGAGATAGCCCCGCGAGACCCTCAACCCCTCAGTTTCCTCCATAAGACACTCCTTCGCTCCTTCGCTGTCGGCTGCTGGTCTCGATCTCTGTATCTTCGTAGTGTCAGTCCAAGTCGTAACTTATAGGGCTAGGCCCAAGCTTGAAGGTAACCCGTGCGGACTTGGTTATAAAGACGTCTGGTTCAGGCTCTGGCCTGTCGGACTGTGCTAAGCCCGCCGTTTTCTTTGGCTCTCAGGCTATATCATAGGTTCCTTTATACCCGACCCTACTGCATCAAGGGGTCGGTTTCCCCTGCCGCCGTCGTGCATGTGGCACAACAATGTCAATACCCAAAGACTCCAACTTGTATAGTGTCGCCCGCGGCTCCTGCCATTGACCAATATCGTGATTAGCCTAGGAAGTCCCGCTCTTCTACCTTTTACTGATCTTAGTGTCGTAACCACTGAGTCAAACGGGTCTAAAGACTAAAATTCACCCCAAATCGCCCAAATGCCGGTCTCGAACGTGAATCCGTTTCGCGTAAGCTACTGCAGTTGTCTCACAACCCCTTTCCAGCTCACGTTACTAGGCGCAGACGCCGCTCTCATAACCAGATATCCGCCCAAAATACTCGTGCGTGCCCTCAAAGTGCACGACCACATACTCTCTAATCAAATCAAATGTGGGTGCAATTCCCAATCCCTGAGAATTGGTTATGGTCACACAGAAACGAGACACTCTCTCGAATACTATCAAAGACGCACCTTCTACAAGATGCAAAAATGTGCCCAAATACCCTTGTAAGGGTATTCGGGCCGACAACGTCACTTCAGGAGTGCGGGTTCTGAGAGAACCAAGACCTTGACGATTATCAGAACTTTTCATCGAATGGTAGCTAACACATACGGGATGGCGGATCTACCGCCCGTGATTGACCTGTTCGGACGGGAACTCCGACTCATGGATTACCCATAGAGGATAACTCGCGCCGCGATACTTGCGTTCATCTGAAACTGCAGGGATGCGGACGTCCGAAATAAATTCCATGAGTACCTGGAAAAGCAAGAAGCACTAAATCGACGGATATAAAACTGAAAGTCCAGAATAAAATACGTCAAGAAATTCACACGACTCGGAATATAAAGTTAAAATCACAAATCAAAAAATCAAAAATCAAAAATTAAAAATATAATTTTGCACGGAATGAAAATAAATTTTCAGGGACGAAAAAGAAACATACACGACGAAGTACTCCGGAATATCACGGAATTTCTGCAGATATAACGACGTAACAGTGTCGCTCACATTTCCAAACATACGAAGCAGATAGAAGATCAAAGACCTAAAACATTGGGAACGAAACCAATAAAGAAAAAGTACTCACCTGAAAATGAAGGAAAATCCACGGCCATGAAAGTAAACAAGAACAAAACAACAAACAAGGCCAGATTCGAGTCAGTATAAAAAAACAGCGGAGTTATAGGCAAGTACCACAGTAAGACGGAAATCCGACAGAGAGGAGAGCACGTGAGTCGCACAGAATCATTAGATATGATGAAAATAGCTCCAGATTGAAGGCATGTTGGAAATCGACGACGACAAGGACAACACCGAGAGCGACTGCGAGAGATCCTGAGGATAGATGATGAGTACACTGCAAGGATAGGGAAAGTAGCGGAGAAGGACTGGGAATGAAGGGTATAAATACTGAGCATAGTGGTTGAAATGATTACCTGAGCAGTGAGGTAGAAGGGTAATCGTGACTGGTGTCACATGCCATGGACATTACGTGTATGCTATGAAAGTAAAACCTCGCACGTTCTGTCTACATTTGTATGTGTATGCTGTGAAAGTAAAACCTCGCACGTTTTGTCTACATTTGCATGTGTTTATCTCTATGCACGGTGCTTAGAACTTGCGGGCGGTACCCGCGATGATTGACACTATATAGACCTATCACTCTTCCATTTTACATTCACTGTCTTTATCTCTCTCTCATCATTCGTAACCCTTTTCTTTCATGATATCATAGTGGCGATTTGTTGGAGATTACTATAGCGTGGAGATTACTCAACGATTTTNGGCGATTTGTTGGAGATTACTATAGCGTGGAGATTACTCAACGATTTTTGGAGATTCTATTTTACTTATCTGGTGTGTACTGAAGACGATCAACGGCGCTGTGGGGTTTTGTATCGATTTCAAGTACGAAGACTACCTACCTGACGTTCCCAAGCTTCAAGGAAGATGTCGCGTTCGCGATCATCGTCGGACAGGAGGCGGCGCAGACACTCATCATCATCTTCCGGATCTCAAGGGAGGAAGCGCTCAAGAAGGGGGGGATCGAAAACACCGAGAGATAGAAGACATAAGTCAAGATCACCATCGTCACGGAGAAGAAGGGCGAAGTCAGAATCTCCAAGGTGGTTCTCGAGACCATTGTGGGAGCAAAGATGGAATGATTTCCCCCCACCGGAAAATCGAGCGTGGTTTACGACGGATCTAAAGGAATAAATCTTTAAGTTCCGCTGGAAAATGGACAAAGTTGAACCAAGGGGGACAGAATCAAGTTGGTCCAAGCGCAACCGGTTAGAAGAATGCAGAGGTTGAAGATAAAGTAGAAAGGATGGTATCGGAAGTGCAGAAGGGTGTCAACAACCTGAAGCTACTAAAGTATGATCTCGCGGTTTTGAAGGGCGCGTTGCATAAGATCAATGAACCAACTCGTACCTGCACTCCGATCGTGTCGTTTTCGGTTCATCCGAACGGATATGTGGGGACAATGGCTGGACTACCAACTTCAATACATGGTAG